GTGATTTTACCAGAAACTTGTATTTACTGACAAAAACAGGCCCATTGCAAACAATGGGTTTGCTTAATGACTGCCACATTCACTTAATGAACACAGCAAAAGGTTGCAAAACTGGGTCCAGTCATGACCTGGTTTACACCTGTCACAACTTACATCCAAAATTAACAGGCTCAATTACAGTCATAATTTGTGGGCTATTGTACAGGTGATCAAACCTTAGCATTTAATTCTGACATTTAGGGGTGTTTTTTAATAGCCCCAAAGGCAACAAGTGGCACACTAGCTTGCCAAATTAGTGTGCTTCTTGTTGCCTTTGGGGCTATTAAAAAACACCCCTAAATGTCAGAATTTCCAAGGCAAAATCATCAGCATATTAGGATGTTGACAAAGGTAAGGGATGAAACATGTTTATTATTACTCTGGAATATTGTAAAAGAGAATTGCTTGAATAGTCCAGAAAGAAGTTGTTGGAGATTTGAATTCAGTAAAAGCTAAAGAAGCCCCTGAAGTCAAGCAAAGTGCTGGAAGTTTACTAAGTAATTGGGTAACACTGAAAAAGAAGATAAATATTCATAATCTAGTTTCCTTGGCTGCAGAGAATAGCTGTAACTATAATGAACACTAATAAACATTAAATAATACCTAATGAATTCATTATGAATACTAATACATATTACATAACACATAAATGATTACAAAGTACTTGAAGTAAAGGTAGATTTATTAGGACATACAAACATAGAAATGCCTCATTTATATCTAAACTACATTTTGCAGAGAAAAGCACAGGAGTGAGACAAGAAGTTAAATGAGTGTCTTTAAACACAGAGACCAACTTAACTAACAATAAGCCATATGAGAGAAAAAAACAAAGACAGAATGTGAAGACCCTTCTTATCTATCTCTCACCATTGTTCCTTGTTGTCATATAGGTACAAAGCTACATAGATACAATTGTTGAACAGAAGCACTTTCTCATTCACTTGCCTTTGATGTCTGGCAACTGCTTTTCTGATATTCTTTAAAATTCTGTATGGAAGTAAAACTGTTTGTAAGCCATAGGTACCCTCCTTCCAATGGGATTATTTAGAATTGTAATTCAACACATTGGACAAGGTGGCATTTTAAATTGTGATAAGAGAAGATGATTTAGTATATATACATACACATACACACACTTATCCTTTCCCTGTTTATAGTAGTGTCCTTTAGAAAAATATTTTCTGCTAAAACATAATGCAGGAATTCAAAAAATGTATATATTAAGACTTGACATGTAGCCAATTTAGTATTTTTTTAACTGAGATCTATAAATAATTTTAGTGGAATTAATGGGATTTCTGAATCAGATTTAAATTGTCCTCATCCTTAAAATTCCTATGATAAAATTACAATCATATGATGATTGTATGATGGTAAACTGTGTAAAGAGCTCTCACTTTCGGTGTCATCAATGCTTTCATTTAATCCCATGATACTTACCAGTACATATGAATAGAAATAGTTTCATGGGAAAATGTTTAAGTTTGTAACATGTAGAGATTAATTGAAATATAATACAGTATTAGCAGCCAAGTGTACATAATAAACCATGCAGCTAAGATAAGTTAAAATCCAATTGCATTTATTAATTAGTCATGGGGCATACTAATGAAAATATTTGTACTGCAAATTATGTATATGTGATTGATTGAACAGCTTTCTTTATGTTTCAGTTAATCAGATCCTACTATTCCTTCTTGTTTTGACTCTCTGTGTTATTCTGTATAATAAAGTTCAAAAGATGCCATCTGCTATCCTGAATAATGAATCGAGTAAGCATCTATTTTTATTTTTTATATTACTGAGACCACATATGCTTTGTTGGTAGCATTATAACTCATATTAAAATTACCTTTCAAACTAGATCAGAAAAATCTTCATAATTAGAACTGCTTTAGCTTTCTTTCTTTTAGTAATGCCTCTGAACATTTTGTACATCTTGATGGCCACTGACTCTGCAGATTGAGAATTATGGCATATGTAGTGCCTACAACTGGTTGAGAAAGGCTTGTATCATAAATGCTGCATGTAAAAAAAAACCTGTGAGGTGGGGTAGCCATAATAGAAGGAATATGGAACNGGGCTATTAAAAAACACCCCTAAATGTCAGAATTTCCAAGGCAAAATCATCAGCATATTAGGATGTTGACAAAGGTAAGGGATGAAACATGTTTATTATTACTCTGGAATATTGTAAAAGAGAATTGCTTGAATAGTCCAGAAAGAAGTTGTTGGAGATTTGAATTCAGTAAAAGCTAAAGAAGCTCCTGAAGTCAAGCAAAGTGCTGGAAGTTTACTAAGTAATTGGGTAACATTGAAAAAGAAGATAAATATTCATAATCTAGTTTCCTTGGCTGCAGAGAATAGCTGTAACTATAATGGACACTAATAAACATTAAATAATACCTAATGAATTCATTATGAATACTAATACATATTACATAACACATAAATGATTACAAAGTACTTGAAGTAAAGGTAGATTTATTAGGACGTACAAACATAGAAATGCCTCATTTATATCTAAACTACATTTTGCAGAGAAAAGCACAGGAGTGAGACAAGAAGTTAAATGAGTGTCTTTAAACACAGAGACCAACTTAACTAACAATAAGCCATATGAGAGAAAAAAACAAAGACAGAATGTGAAGACCCTTCTCCTTATCTATCTCTCACCATTGTTCCTTGTTGTCATATAGGTACAAAGCTACATAGATACAATTGTTGAACAGAAGCACTTTCTCATTCACTTGCCTTTGATGTCTGGCAACTGCTTTTCTGATATTCTTTAAAATTCTGTATGGAAGTAAAACTGTTTGTAAGCCATAGGTACCCTCCTTCCAATGGGATTATTTAGAATTGTAATTCAACACATTGGACAAGGTGGCATTTTAAATTGTGATAAGAGAAGATGATTTAGTATATATACATACACATACACACACTTATCCTTTCCCTGTTTATAGTAGTGTCCTTTAGAAAAATATTTTCTGCTAAAACATAATGCAGGAATTCAAAAAATGTATACCGTATATTAAGACTTGACATGTAGCCAATTTAGTATTTTTTTAACTGAGATCTATAAATAATTTTAGTGGAATTAATGGGATTTCTGAATCAGATTTAAATTGTCCTCATCCTTAAAATTCCTATGATAAAATTACAATCATATGATGATTGTATGATGGTAAACTGTGTAAAGAGCTCTCACTTTCGGTGTCATCAATGCTTTCATTTAATCCCATGATACTTACCGGTACATATGAATAGAAATAGTTTCATGGGAAAATGTTTAAGTTTGTAACATGTAGAGATTAATTGAAATATAATACAGTATTAGCAGCCAAGTGTACATAATAAACCATGCAGCTAAGATAAGTTAAAATCCAATTGCATTTATTAATTAGTCATGGGGCATACTAATGAAAATATTTGTACTGCAAATTATGTATATGTGATTGATTGAACAGCTTTCTTTATGTTTCAGTTAATCAGATCCTACTATTCCTTCTTGTTTTGACTCTCTGTGTTATTCTGTATAATAAAGTTCAAAAGATGCCATCTGCTATCCTGAATAATGAATCGAGTAAGCATCTATTTTTATTTTTTATATTACTGAGACCACATATGCTTTGTTGGTAGCATCAGGGCTTTTTTTCAGCCGGAACGCGGCGGAACCGCGTTCCGGCACCTTTTTCCGGGCCGGCCGCACCGGAAATAGCCCCTCCCACACCGGAAATAGCCCCTCCCAAATTTTACTTGCATTCCTGTTCTCTAAAGGGGCGGTCCTAGGGTTTGATGAGGGCGTGGCCAGGTTTGAGTTCCGCCACCTTTTC